CTGCAAAATATCCGGGATACAAATTGCTGTTGACTAGAATTATTAGTGGCTGCTTTTTCGCTATGACAATTAGTCATTTTTAAGTAATTCATTTTTAGACATTAATATTTTTCATCTGGTTATTTTGTTTTAAGAAAATTTGACAAATTTGTGTTCTTCGTTGCCGAAATCCTTTTTTAATGGCCCGCACTTTTTATGTGGCCTATGACTGCTTACAAATCAAACATTTGGCTTGAAACGGTTTTTTATCAACAGGAACTATGATTTTTCAAAGTCTTTTACTGATTAATTAATTAATTTATTAATTACAGTAATTACTGATTAATTAATTAGTTTATTAATTATGATTACCATTTACAAATTAAACAAATTAATCACTCTAAACATAAAAATAGTTGGTTAGTCTTAGAAGGTTAAAGTGATAAGTCGTGATATAGACTTCTAAGGTTATAGTGCCACGCTATATGTCAAACTTATCATGATAAGTTTGACATATAGCGTGGCCATATTTTGAATACGTTAAATTTAAATTACACTCGTTAACATATATTTTTTTTTAATGAAAATTTTGTTGACCAGTTTTAGAAATAACCAATTCCCTGATCGACTTAGGATTTCCCTGACTTTCCCTGATTTTTTTGCCAATTCCCTGAAATTCCCCTGACATTTCTAAAAAATTTAAATTCCCTGACATTTCCAGGTTTTCCAGATGAGTGGCAACCCTGTAATATATTAAAAAGTAAACATTTATGTTTTTTAATTAAAAAAAATAAATATTTTTACCCAAGTTTAATGTTAGGGGTAATTATTTTACATTGAAACTAAAGAAAGTTATAAATCAATTGATTTCAAGTAAGGTAAAGTGGGGTAATTGCGATATGTTTTTGTACTAGTTGGCATTCTCCCTTGAATTAAAATTAAGGAGTGATAAAACTAAACCAAACCCAAAGCTCATTATATAGCCCAACTACTCAAGAGTTATATTCTAAAGTATAAAACGTTAGGAACTAAGGGCTAAAAAATTACATATATTTTTTTAAACGTTCCTAACATATTGCATTTGCCCCGAAAAATGGGGCAAATGTGTTAGCGGCCAATTACATTACAATATTAATGTATTTGTAGTGGGTATGGGGCTAATGTAAAAGAGGAAAAAAATAGGATTATTTTGGTGTAAAATCGTGTGAATCCGTTAATAATCATAAGGTTTGCAAACTTTTTTTTAATTTTAATTTAAGAATTAACAGACTACGCGGTTAATACAAAAAGGAAAAAACGATTTATTATTATGTACTTAAGTAACCAAGTGGTTCTGCGCAGTAGTTGTCGGGATTTCTCTACTTAGATATGCTACCCAAGACAACAGCGTGCGTTTTTATTCGTTTGCTTTTATTTACTACTTCAAGTAAGAATTTTATCGCGAGATGTTACATTTACCCCAATCTTACAATTACCCCACCTTACCTTATTCTGCTTTTCAATCTGACAAAAAAACAGCAAAGATGTATGATATAATTAACATGGTAGTAATTTTATCTTTAAAAATGTTATTTTTTAATTATATCTTTGTTATAGGTATGTTTACCTTCTGAATTTATTTTTTCATATATATACACTTTAAAACCAAACAATAAATAAAGATTTTACAGGGGTGAGTCGCAAACAAATGTATTTACAAGCAAAAATACTGTCTATTTTTATTCATATTTTAAATCAGTCGTTCACTACTGATATAAATTATATCAACCGATTTTCATTTTATTGGCCAAAAAACAAATCTAGTAAACCATTTATTATTATTTTCTAAGGTTAAAAGCAAATGTCACAAATGTTAAATAAATCTTGATGATATTTTAATTTAAAATGCCAATGTATAGACATTGCTTTTTTATGGAAAATATAAACATTGAAGGATAATTACCCAATTTATTTTATAAAACATCAGTTTTTAAAGAAAAATACTGCGTTGCCATGTCGTGCAAAAACCCATATCCACTGATATGCTAAATCAGTTGGTATAAATAAATTTATATTAACTGATTTAACATATCAGTGGATTTAGGTTTTTGCACGACATGGCAACGCAGTAACTTTCTTTAAAAACTGTTATTTTATAAAATAAATTGGGTAATTATCTTTAAAACGTTCATATTATCGCAAAAAAGTTAATTTTTACACATTAACATTTTGAATTAGATATAAAACAATTAAAATTTCATCAAGATACATTACAATACATTTGTGACATTTGCATTTAACCATAGAAAATAATTTCGTTAATATACGCTAAAAAAGTCTCGCCAGTAGCGCCACCACTCGGTACTTATCATCGTAACAAAAGTACAACTTTAAATAATCAGCTGTCAAAGGCTTATGTTACAAACGAGTGTTTTTGAGAATAAAGCCAGAAAATGTTAAAAATATCTAAAAAAAAAACCGTGGCTCGATTTGTTGTGTTGTTGGGTGTATTTCGAGAGGAAATCCTGGGTTGAGTTTTTACCGGTTTTCCAATAAACAGTGTTAATCTGAATGAAGAAATAAACTGAATACAGTCTCTGTAAATATAAATTGTACCTATTAGATACAATAAATACACATTTTAGTAGTGATTAATGTGAAAAGTGTAAACATTTCAATTCAGTTAAAATCGTCAAACACATAAGTCGTCTAAATTTACAGCATTTAGGATTATTAAAAGCGTTGATTAAGAAAGTTTCCACTCAACGGTAAAATACCATTAAATTATGTATTATATGTAATATTATGTTGCCATGAATTCGTAGGTATATTTTGTTGTTTAAAATGCAGTTGTCGGCGTTTTTTAGAGAACTCAAATATAAAAATGGTTATGTTTCTGCAAAAATTTTTTTTTTTAATTTCTTAATAATGTCTAAACTTAAATATAAATTATATTAGGTAAAGTTATCATTACTTAATTCTGCACCAACAAATGTACTTACCGAATTGGATCCTTTGGCAAAACATGAAAATGCAACGATTTATTTCTTGAATTTTATTTACAATTAAAAACAAAATAATTCACCATGATCCCTTAGATAAAATACACACACTAGCGTAACTATTTAAGCATTTAAGCGTTGAGTTTATATATAAGGAATAATCAATCGAAATCGAGTAAGTACTAAAAAAGTTTGCAACGTAAAACACAAATAATGTGCCCGATTTAGATGTGCAATTGAACAAAATTTGTCGAGTAAGACTTCGGCGTTCCTCTCTTTTGTAAAAAACTACCTATTTATTTAAAAATGATAATATAATCTGTGTTTTAAATGTATTGTTGACAATTCTTAAATTCACGCAATGCTATCGAAGTCCACCAGATAGCGCGCGCGTTGCGAAAACCCGATACTTCTTTAGCGTTTAAGACAGTGTATGCTTCATAATTATTTAATTTAAATTATTCGGATAAAATGATAATTAAAACAAAAATCAGAATTTTTTTACATTTTTGATAATTAAAACAGTTATTGAAATAAAATAAATAAACGTATGATAAAAAAATTAAACATTACATACAGAATAAATATTAAGTAGTTTTAAACAAAATTATTGGTAAAAACGCTAAAATTAATTTTGATCAAAATATACGAAATAAATTTTTGACACCAATATGTCAATTTCTTTATTCAAAAGGATCATAATAGAAGTAGAATCAACAATATTTGGTAAGTTATTGAATATAATAAACAATAAAAAAATAAATTTCCAAAAAGTGCAAAAACTCCATGTTATGGGAAAAGTATCGTCATTTACGCAGGGTTAAGCAGCAATGAAAAAAATTTTTTGTTCAAAATTCTTTTTATAAACTAACAATTAAAATGATACCCAAGTGAAAACAGCCAACTTGGTAAAGAACGGACACCCTAATGGACATACATGAACTCTTTTTTTTAAGTATCTTATTTTCCCTTCACTTTCAAAATTATAATTTTTCATTAATTACACTGTAGGGAGGTGAAAATATCGCAGCTAAACGCTTGGACACGTAAACTTAATATTTGGTCGTAGATTACAAATCTGTGCTTGGCTTAGCTGTATTAGGTCAAAAGATATTGGAAACACCCTGTATACATTTAAACACCCTGTATAAATTTTTTTAAAATTTAATTTGGCTGGACCCACATCAGTTTTAAATTAAAAAAAAACAGTCTTGCAAAATTTGACATAAATTGATCAAAAGGAACATGTGTCCCTAAGGGGTTTTTCTTAGATAATTTAGGAAATTCAAATGTTTTTTTGCTGGTTTTTATTTATTGAGCATGATTGAGGATATTACATTAAACAAAATAAAAAGCATGGGAATGTTGGCACAAGAGGTGAAATATATTATTTTAAAAATTATGGAGCCAATCCGGAGACACATGACATTGTGTCGGATTGCCAATAGAAAAAACTTTTTTAGACCTGATACAGCTAAACCAAGCACGGATTTGAAATCTATGACCAAAAATTATGTTTAAGTGTCCGAGTGCTTAGCTGTGATATTTCAAGAGTTGAAAATTTACCTACAGTGTTATTAATGATTTTTTTAAATGATATTATTAATTATAAAGCAAAAATCCCCTATAAGCTAAACTGTAAGTAATAATCAAGAGAAGTAAAAAAAGACTTTAGGATGAAAATACATGATTTCTTTCTTTTGTTTAAAAGAAACTTATGTAGGTACTTATAATTATTATACTTTATATTATTCTATCATTAATTTAAAAAAATTAATACATTAAAGAGAAAAATTCTCTGGAAATCTTGAAAATTCTTGTTGCAAAAAAATAAGTTATGGCATTCAAATTTGGCATGATTGTTTTATATTTTACAAAATCAAATGAGGGGGCGGCACGATTATACTACTGACATCGGTCAAATAAGAAAAGGCCTACTATGTATAATATTATTCTTTTGCCTTCACATTTAGTTAATATTTTAGTAGGCAGCATTTTTATTATACTTAAGACTAAATAATAATAAAATATTATACTTACAATAATTTAATAGTTGTAAAAGTGAATTTAATATTATAGACCGTATATAAAATAATATGAAACCGATAACGATTGTTTTATCTATTAAAATTTTCATGAAATATAGGTTAGAATTATTCGAGCATTCCCTTTATAGAAAATTTGTTTACTTTGACAGTACCAGTAGACTTTATAATCTGTGGACATACTGTATTGCAGTGTTGCCACCTTGATGCGTCTGTCACTTTCAATAAAAAACCTCAGGAGTGCGTTCATGGAGCCTACACAAGGAGCCTGAACTTAATAGGGAAAATTGACAAAACCTGTCCACTAAATTGCACAAATTAAGTCTTTTTTTTTCACCACCAGCGGCGCTGTTTGTCAATGCGTCCGTATGACGTGAAAATAGTATCAAAAATACATGTGAAGTAAGCTTAGCTTAGCTTACTAAGCTAGTAAGTTTTGACAATTGATTTGCAATAATGTTTTGACGTACGAATCGTTTTGTTATTTATGTTCTGTGACCTGGTAGGTAGATGCTAATAAATAGGTTTTGGTTGTGAAATATAAGTGATTCTTTATAATCTGTGAAGTGATTTTACGACTCTGGCCAGAGTCGTAACCAAAACCTATTTATTTTGCTTCTCCGGAGAAGCAAAATAAATAGGTTTTGGTTGCGAAATATACCTAAGTGATTTTTTATAATCTGTAAAGTGATTTTACGACTCTGGAGAAGCAAAATTAGATTTCCAGGTTAGAAATACACCGCTATTTAATAATTTAAATGTATAAAATGAGTAAACAGCATATTTAATAATTTCCACCTTTATTTGTTTATATTGAACTTTTATTTAAGCCATCTACCTATAAAACTAAAAATAAATACCATATGGATTTAATATTCTGTTAGTTTTACACGATTTAGCATCACACGACATTCTTTTATAAAAAAACACGTATTTATAAAAAACTGTACATGAATTCCAATGTTAAATTTGATATAAATTTATTGTAAATTAAGACCTTTATCATAGATGACCTTTATACACAAAACCAAGTACATGGGTACATTGTTTTCAGAAAGCGATAAACTGACAGTTGCATAACCTCAATTATTTCCACAATAATAAGTGGTAGGTAGTGGCGCCATCTCTGGTTATACCCCTCTACTGTTTTGGGCCGGTAGTACACCAGCGCCCTCTTATCTTAGGAAGATTCTTGTTTACATGAAGTTCGGGCTCCTTGTATAGGCTCCATGCTACAATTGTAGGTTACCATAGAGAAAAGTCTATTATGCATACTATGATCAAAATTAGTAAAGTTGAAAAAATTTAAAATTTATAAATAAAAGTAATTTTAGCTCCATCTATGGCGACTTTTTAAAATAAATATGTAAGAATTGTATGTTATATATAATATATTATATGTAATATATAATGTATAATATGTAATATAATCAGAGCTGTCAGAAAAAAGTATCTTAGTTACTTTAGAGTAACTTAGTTACTTTAAAGTATCTAAGTTACTGTATCTTAGTTCCTTTATTTTTTTAACAAAAAGTATCTAGTATCTTAGATACTTTTTAAAAGGAACCCTGCTGAAAATCCCGCATAAAAACTTATAAAAAAAAACTTATAAAAACTTATAAAAGTTGATGAGATTTTATAGGGCCTATGAAACAGCAATTTCTGATACAAACTTTTCAAATTCTATAGGTTTTTAAGAGAAACTACTTTTCAACTCTGGTCAATACTAATTAAACTTTATGAGTATTTACGCATCAAGGTATATAATATTTTATGAGTATTTATGAGTTTTTAAGAGAAATTACTTTTCAACTCTGGTCAAAACTTATTAAACTATCAGTATTTACGCATCAAGTTATATAATATTTTATGAATATTTATGAGTTTTTAAGAGACATTACTTTTTAACTCTAGTCAGTAGAATAGTAGTTATAATATTAAATATAATATACATATTTTATGAGTATGTATACGTTTTTAAGAGACACTACCCAGCTGACAGTATGACGTTCTTTTAACGTATTTATTTCGTCACCCATTACGTCGTTTTGACCTGTTGGATGACGTCGAATCGATCAAAATATTACGTGAAGTAGTAAATTGTGGGGGTTCGCGGCTTTGGCCTTGCAAAGCAGGCACTGTTTAAGCAGAGGACCACGGAAATTCCATGACGATCTAGACGGAACAATCCTGGCTCCAACAAAGAATTTCAGTGAAAAAGCTAAATTGTCGTAGGCCACAATTCGTGACTCGTTTATTTGCCGAGGTTCGTATTCCTAAATCTTAAATTTCAATGCAGCCAGTGTCAACTTATATACTTAACGAATAGTGCCACATAAGCGAGATGTATTATGCAATAATGGTTGCCCATGATAAGTAGATTTCTACTATATTATAGTAGATGCCTACTTATCATAGGCAACCTTACTCTGGTCAATACTAATTAAACTTTATGAGTATTTACGCATCAAGGTATATAATATTTTATGAGTATTTATGAGTTTTTAAGAGAAATTACTTTTCAACTCTGGTCGAAACTTATTAAACTATCAGTATTTACGCATCAAGTTATATAATATTTTATGAGTATTTATGAGTTTTTAAGAGACATTACTTTTTAACTCTAGTCAGTAGAATAGTAGTTATAATATTAAATATAATATACATATTTTATGAGTATGTATACGTTTTTAAGAGACACTATATATGGTGTCTTACTTTTAAGCTCTAGTGAAAACTTATTAAACTTTATCAGTAGGTATTTACCGATCATGTTATATAATATTTTATGAGAATTAAAAAAGTTTTAATAAGACACTATATAATCATAAAACTTTATAATCACTTATCCGATAAATACTCGTACACAGCTGTTACGTGTAAAGGCCGATTCTCATCTAAGCAGGGCAGAGCAGAGCGGCGCGGAGCAGGGCAGCGCGGCAAAATGCTGCTCTCAATTGTTTACATGTAATTAAGTGGTCCCGTCCTCACCTAGGCATAGCGGCGCAGAGCCGAGCGTCGCGGTACAATGCAGAAAATTTTTAACGCGTTCGAAAGCATTGACTAGCGGCACTGATGCTTTGAAACGCGCTCTTCTGCCTGTTGACGGACAAGTGGGAATCGAGAAGCGTAGCAAAGCGGCGCGGCGCTGCGCTGCGATTTGAAAAAAACAAAGTTTGTTTTGCATTTATTGAATTTTGCATTTATTTATTTCTTTATTATTTAAATCTTTTGAGTTAGAGAATTAATATGGACGGGGAAAAAATTGAAAAATTAATTTTATTCGTAAATGAGTATGAAGAACTGTACGATATGTCAAATAAAAATTACAGCAACCAAAATATACGGGAGATTATTTGGGGAGAAATAGGGAAGAAAATTAATGAAAGTGGTGAGTTCTCATTTATATAGGTACTTATTTATTATATTTATGTATTTAAGCTGGATATACATATATGTGTATATATATAGAAGAATCATTCTTGGGCGTGTATGTAAACATTATTAATGTCACTAAACTAACAACTATTTGATACTGCTAGTAGCAGCCTGCTACCTATAAAGAATGCTCCTTACAAAATGCTGCGCGCCGCGCTGCTTGATGCTGCCTAGATGAGAATCGCTATAGCAGAATGTTGCGCCGCGCTGCGCTGCCCTGCTCCGCGCCGCTCTGCTCTGCCCTGCTTAGATGAGAATCGGCCTTAAGAGTGTTACACTGTAACTCCAATAGAATATTGATAACATAATGCGTAAATACGCATTATACGCGTATACGCATCATGTTATCAATATTTTATAGGTGTTACACGTAACAGCTGGGTATTATTATTTATTGGATAAGTGAATGAAGGGTATATATTATGTTTTATAAAAGTTAGATGTAAAAAACCAATAAAAACCGATAAAATTAATTTCTTATAAATACTTGTGGCTTCTTATAGACATATAATAGGTAAGGCCTTATACAAACCAATAAACTTACATCCCTTATAGAGTCTCATAAACACTCATAAACAATGATCAAATCGGGACCATACTGAAACTGATAAAAGCCATGTGCACATAAAATCTTATAAGTACTGTACCACATAAAGTCTTATAAAAACTTATATAGATGTAAAAAAACAATAAAATCCGATAAAATTATTTTCTTATAATTACTTATACCTTTTTATAGACATATAATAGGTAAGGCCTTATACAAACCAATAAACTTACATCCCTCATAGAGTCTCATAAACACTCATAAACAATGATCAAATAGGGACCATACTGAAACTGATAAAAGCCATGTGCACATAAAGTCTTATAAGTACTCTTTAACATTTTAGCTGGAATTCCTTATAGACATTTGCACCTACCATATAAAGTCTTATAAAAACTTATAAAAGTTAGATATAAAAAAACAATAAAATCCGATAAAATTCATTTCTCATATATGCTTATAGCTTCTTATAGACATTTAATAGTTAAGGCCTTATACAAACCAATAAACTTACATCCCTCATAGAGTCACATAAAATCTCATAAAAAATTATCAAATAGGAACCACATTAAAACTGATAAAAGTCTTGTGCACATAAAATCTTATAAATTCACTTGAACATTTTAGTTGGAATTTCTTATAGAAATTTGTACCTCGTAAAGTCTTATAAAAACTAATAAAAGTTTTATAAGTCACGGCTCATAAAACTATTTCTTATAAAAACTGATAGAATTCTGATAAAACCCTTATGAGCAATTAGACAAAACCTTATAGAAACTAAGAAACCGCATACATCCTTATTAAATATTATAGAACTTTTATAAGTTTTTATGCGGGTTTTTCAACAGGGAACTGTATCTTGTAACTTAAAAAAGTATCTTAGATACCGAAAAGTATCTTAGATACCAAAAAGTAACTTAGATACCAAAAAGTAACTTAGATACCAAAAAGTATCTAAGATACCACAAGAAAAGTTCCTTTAGTCAAGTTGTTCGAAACGGCCGCGGCCATCGAAGTTATTATAATAAGTATACTGGCGACTTCAGCGACTGGCGCCAATCGACTGGCGGCGATTTTTGTTTTACCTACTTAATTTTTATTCACCTATACTTCTTTTATAATCTGTGACTTCGCCACCCGCTCTGTAGAAGGGTGTTTCCGTTCGTTGCGACTTGAATTTATAGTGGTAAGTCTGAAATAAGTTAGGTTAGGTAAGTACTTGC